GAATCAGTATTCACAATCCAATAATTACGAAGTTACAATTAATCATTTCTTAATATTGGTCTACTTTCGGTCTACTAATCACCGTGGACTGATATAGTATTAGATACTAATTTATCATTTTATCTTATGTCAAGTTATCAACTACCAAGAAACTATTTCACGGCTGAGTAATCTGTTTCTCAAATTATCTTAGTGCTAACGGAAAAGTATCGTTATTTACCTAGAATTGGGGCAGATTAATTGGAATTGGGAGTTTCTTAATTACAATATGATCTTTATAAATAGAAGTTAACCTAACTACATGAAAGTTACATTTCGAGTACCTTGAGTAAAAACTAAATGTATTAACAATACCGTTATGCCTGCTGCTAACTGCCTCATTGGCCGAGTGACTGCCGGCGACTGCCGGGCAAGGGGTCTCGGGTTCGATTCCCGGGTCGGGCAAAGTATTACTGGGTTTTTCAAAATAATTGTGTTACTACATGGAGTCTGGAATCGTGCTCGGTATATGACAATAGGTTCACCTCCTATTACATGGGACTCATAACATAAATAGTGAAAAGTGGGTGTTATATTGTACAGTAGTATAATGTACACCTTTGCTTACCCCTTCGGGGATAAAAAGGCGTGATGTTATGTTATTAACGATAAATTGTTCGCCATCCGACTTGTAATCTAAAGACATTTATTAAAATCTTTCTGCGTAAGTACCTATGTCATAATCTTCAAGTACATTTCAATCAAATCAATTACTATCTACAACACACAAGACTGTTCCATTGTCATTTTAAACACTGGCCTTTGTAAGAAAATGGTCATAAAAAGAAATCGAGGACACGAACAACACTACAATTAGGTAGAGATGAGCCATCAAAAGACGAGCACTTGTAACAATTAGGTAACAGATAAAATAATCCTGTCTCAATGTAATCAGGACAAGTGTAACGGAGTATGACATCGTGTGATACTAGGAATTAGCAATAATTAGACGCTATAATATCGGCCACAATGTGATGAGACCAGTTAATTAACCCGTATTAGGTACTTATATATCTAATCCCGTATAAATCGGATTACCATTCAATTCTAATACGGATATTACTAATATCTGGACTTGATTTCGATACGAATATATATTTGATTTATTGTAGCATTTGGGCGGAAGCAGTGACTTGACTATTGATCGGTTTGGGTTCAATCCCTTAGTCATTCGTCTATAATTAGATGTTTACAATTTTAACGTAAATTGGAATTTGGAATTACATTTGGAACATTTGCATTGTAACTATAATATTTATAACATAACA